TGTCTGATGAATGGACTTGATGGTGACCCGGACTGCCCTAGCACAGAACAGCCTGTTTTGAACTCATAGCCTGGGTAAATCAAGTTTATTATCAGTGGAGGATGAGGAGGGGAGGAAACTGGATAGACAGGAAGTGGCCCAACCCACCTGGCTAGGTTACACAAACCTTTCCAACTTTGGCTATGTGGCGATTTCCAAAGATACCAACACTTCCATGAAATGTCTGCTGAAATCAAATGCAGGTCAGAAATAAAGACTGACGGACAAGGTGGAGCAGCAGGGAGCGGGAGGGAAGAAATGGGAAACAAGATAAATGGGGGAGAAAAACAGGAAAGAAAGGTAATGTATTGGTTTATTTTTATCTACCCAATATTAATTTCTACTTTTTATTATTTTTTAAATGTATATTTACTTGAAAGGCAGAGAGAGAGAGAGAGACAGATAAACAGATCTTTTATCTACTGCCTCACTCCTCAAATGAGTGCAATAACTGGAGCTGGGCCACACCAAAGCTAGGGGTCATGAACACAATCCAGATCTAACATGGGCAGCTGAGGCCCAGGGATTTGAGCCATTACCTGCTGCTGCCCAGGTGGGCATCATCAGGAAGCTGGAATCAGAAGTGGAACTCATACTCGGATTCAGGAACTCCAATAGGGAATGCAGACATCCCAAGCGGTATCTTCACCAGGATTCTGATGCCTACCCCTATCCAGTATTAATACAAATATAGTACACACTATATTCCAGGTACTGTTCTTAGAACTTTATAAGTATCAACTCTCACTTAATCCTCATTATTTTTAGATAAGAGGAAAGCTAAGCATGGGAAGAGTTAACAATGACCTACCAGCTGGCCAGCATGTGACAGGGCTGGGATTTGAACCCAGGCAGCCTTGTGGCATTCTATGCACTTAACCACCTCTCAGAGGACTCTTATACCCTGTCATATATGGGTATCCAAGCCATGAGTATTAGCATCTCATGAAACAGCCCTAAAAATACTCAAGAGCTAGTTAATAAATGTTCACAGATCTTCAATGACTATTTTTTTGAAATATTAGACATTTTCTTATGCTGGAATATAAAGCTTGGAAAAGAAGAGATGTTTTCTCTCTATAAAATAAAAACAAAACATAAAATAAGAATAGTAGCTCTTGGGCCAACTAAAAGCAAAAGAAGATGGGGCCTAAGTGACATAGACATCCCATATGAGCGCCAGTTCCAATCCTGGCTTCCCACTTCTGATTTAGCTCCTTGCTATTCTGCCTGGGAAAGCAACAGAAGGCAGCACAAATTGGGCCTCTGCCACCCACATGGGAGGCATAGATGGAGTTCCTGGATCCTAGCTTTGGCCTGGTTTAGCCCCAGTCAGTGTAGTCATTTAGGGAATGAGCCAGTGGACAGAGGTCTCCTTCTCTCTCTGTCTCTCCCTCCCATTCTATAACTTTGCCTTTCAAATAAATGAAATACATCTTTTTTTAAAAAAAAAAAAGGGGGGGGGTGGACAAGAACCAAGATTTGGCCAACTGTCCAAAAGTCCCCACCAGTCACTCATATTGTCAGTCACCAGTGGCTGGGGGACAAGAGGTTCAGATGAACTACTGGCAGAAACCAGCTTTGGGTACAAAGGTTGTCACATGAACCAAGATGGCTTGGGATGGAAAGTACCACCAAGATAACTGGCTTGGGATGGAATCAAGAATCAGCAGCCATGTGCATTCTGGTCCTTCCTGTCCCTTGGGTCTTGTTTACCAGTCTGGCTCATCGCAGAGTCACATTTCTATTATGGAAAAATCTGTTCCCCCATCTCTCACAGCTTTACTTCTCTTCATTCCCTCTCTCACCCAGTTCACTGGACAGCCCATCCCAGTTGCAGATTTGCCGTCCAGCCCCATGTGACATCACCTTGACATATTCTCAGCTCCAGGCTATTCTGAAATCCCTGGCTATGAAGAGTGAGTCTTCCATTGGGAAAATGAAGGCAGTCACATAGGCTCTCCCCTTGATGCATTTTCCTGAAAGTGTGCTATGTTCTGAAATGGTTGGGGCACAAGAGGCCTGGGCAAAGCTCTTGGTGACATCCATCTTCTGATCATTCCATCCTTTGTGAGCTTGCTGTCAAAGAAAGAAAGCCACGGACAGTATCACTGTTCTGAGTTCTCATTCTGCTGTAGCTGTGGACTTTTCTTCCACTGGTTCCTCTCTGACCTTGCTTTTGAAAATCCTCCTCCCACCTGAGTTCTTCCCGCCTTTGTTCCTTGGCCACGTGCCTGCCTGATTAGGCTTTCTCTGTGTCCTGTTGGTGTGCTTCATTTACTGCTTTCATCTTCCATGGGTCAGGGATGACAATTTTCTGTGCTTCAAAAATCACAATGGAAAGAATTCTCTGGTACACACTGAACCATATGTCAGGAAGTTGCCTTCCAAGGCCTGCCGAAGTCCAGAAAAGTGCCCATATAGAAGTAAATGCCAGTTTGGGCTCTGGCTCCCAGCTGCTGTTGACTTTGTGGGAGTACTATATCATAAAGTCTATTTACAAATAAACAGCTTGCTGCAGCTAAGTTGCTTGGTTACAGAGGAAAAATGCACCTGTGGAAATTTGCAAGGTCTACTGAGCAGAAGACAGAGCCCAAAGAGAAACCCTCTATTTTACCTGAAGCCACTATCTTCCTCTGAGAACGTGAAGGGACAATGCAGGTGGTCCCCACTGTGGTCTCTCTCAGACTCCTGCAGACAAGTGCTAACTCGTCTGCAAAGAGGCAGCAGTGGAAGCATACGAGGGCGTTTCCTTACACAGACGAGAGGTCAGTGGTGGGGACTGTGACAAGGGTCCCTCCAGAGCAGCTATGGTGCAGGGAGCCATGGAAAGTAATCACCTGCGTGTGTTCCACTTTCTGGGCAGGCTGTATCTCCACAGCAGGGCACTTTCAGTGCCTCTAGAAAGCAGCTGGCTATTGAAAACGAAATCACCTGCCCTGTGCCCTACTCTGGGACTGTGTTAGGACTAAACTCCAAGACCACAGCAACCAGCTGTGTGGTTTTCATTTGCTCTGTGAGCCAGAAAAGGGCCAGGATATCATAACACCTTCTGGCCCAGATATCCCTCCCTGCATTGAAGAGAATTCACTGCATTTATTTTGAAGGGAAAGACCATAATAGTTGGTATGAATACAATAATGTTGTAGGAAAGCCTTGTTTGCATCTAATATCTGAGTAATTGCATTGCTAGAGTCTGCAGGGCCAAATAAATCCTTGAGAGTGCCCTCATCTCTGCATACTATAGGGGGTTCTCAGAGAGTGCAAACACAAATACAATGCCATCTGCATTAATTTTAAAACAGCTCTAATTTACATTGTTCTTATAATGAAAAGGGAATGTTTCACATTTCCCAGGAATCACTGTATATTCAGACCCCTTAATACCCACTAAGGTGAATGGGATGGAACTTGGCACTTTATGCTCTGGGGTCATCAGCTGAGAAGTCACCACCTCTGAAAATTGGTCAACCTATCTTTCCCAGTCCATAGCCCATGATGCTCCTGCAGTACAGGGATACCCTGAATAGAGCCTAAGGGCAAGCTTGCCCAAGGCAAACCATGGCTTCCTCCTGCCACAGGGGAAAGATAAGCTAATGTGTATACTTTTCACAAATTAACACTTTATTCCCATATATTTTACCTAAATATTGCCTAACAACTAAGACCTAGGGTCAACTTAACAAATGACTAAGTAGCATCAACTTCTTGCAGAAAAGGGATGTTTTCACTACAGCAACTCAAGCCAATGTGCTAACGAAGCAGAACATGATAGGTTTATCTGTGTATATACGGCTATCACATGGGCCACACAGGCAGAGCAGAGCTGGGCTCCAGAAAGGGTCAGACACTATCTCAGCCTCTTTCTGCACATCTTCACTTTCCTCCTTTCTTCTAAACCGAGCTGTTTGGCTGCTTAGTCCACAGAGTGTAAGATAACTTCCCAGATTTCCCAGGATTACATGTTAACTCCCCCGCTAAATAAAGAGACTGCTTCTCTCATCATAGTCTCAAATATTATACCAGGGAAAGAATACCTGACGGGCATAGCTTGGATCTAGGTTCCATCCTCATCTAATAAACTAAGGGGGTGAGGGGATGGGGGAGGGGGAGACAATGCTACATGGTATAAAACAGCCGCAAGAACTCCATACTGTAACCTAAGCACAAGAGCAAGACAGTCCCAAGGGAGGGAGGTGGTAGTAAGCAGGGTGCCTCTGTCCCAAAAGGAAGACACTGCATGGGGTCATGGAGCACGCAAAGTATCAGTGCCCAGCTGTCCCAGATGTTCCCTAAAATCTTCATGGACTCAGGCTACACACCACCAGGATCCAGTAAGGAAATGCTGAGAAATGTGAACAGCTCCTCTGGAAACACTAGAAGCATTTTCCCCTAGACTACATAGGAAAAGAGAAGTGAATATTTTTACAATATCTCATTTAATCCTCCAAGACAATGTGACAGGTTGTTTTGCAGATTAGAATGCCGAGGCTCAAAGAGGTTAAGGAGACGACCCAAGGTCACCTAGCTAGTAAATGGTAGAGCAAATCTCAAACCCATATCCAACTCCAAAATCGTTTCCATACTCCATTCACCCCTCTCTGTGTCGCTTCCCAAACAAACTCTGCCCAGAGCTAAGTGTCCCTGATCAACTGAACAGCCCGAGTTGGAGACAAGCTCCTACCCAACAGATGACATCTTCTACACCTGAGATGTCTCCAGCCCTCAGTGGGCAAAGCAGCAATTCAGCCAGCCCTGTGAGGATCCTGGCCACAGCACAAGCTCCCCTGCGTCCCCACTCCCCTCTGCAGGTACAGACCCCAGCTGCTCTGGTTCTAGCATTCAGGATACCCCCCAGGTGGAACAGTTCACCCGAGCTACACCTAGGTTGTTTACAATCTGACTACAATCGATGCCATTTTCCTGTTTTTGTTTTGTTTGTTTTTGTTTTGTTTTTACAGTTCGTTGCTCATCCTAACTGTCAGCAGCAATTGCTTACCATGTGGTATGAAAATCTCTCAGGCTTACGTCAACAGTCTATCGCTGTGAAATTCCTGGCTGTCTTTGGAGTCTCCATAGGCCTCCCTTTTCTCGCCATAGCCTATTGGATTGCTCCGTGCAGCAAGGTACAGACTGCTTAAAGGTGCATGTCGTTTGCGGCTATTTCTTCTCTTCTTAGCATGACCTGAAGACTATTTTGTTCACATCAGCAGCTGATCTGTTCTTATATTTAAAGATAATAGTCCTGAGATACTTAGCATAAGCAGAGAACCAAACAAGAGGAAAAATGTGATGACTTTTTAAAATCATTTTTAAAAAGAGAGGAGCAATAAAATGGGAAATTTCAAACACATGAGAGTTCATCTGAAAGGATCAATAACAAAATAGAGAGAAAATGAAGGCACATTTCATCTTCCAATTACTCAATACGCTTAGCATGTCCTCCAACCCATCATACAGTCATTATAATCATGGTAATTTTAACAGCCACCACTCCGTGCTTTCTCTTTGCTAAGTCCTTTTCATGGAGTATCTCATTTCACTCCCTCAAGTACGTGATGTGTACATGCTTCATGAAGTAGGTTCAGACTTGAGAAATACCTGCTGGGTGGTACAGACCAGTGATGACATCGTCTGCTTTCTCTGACCTCTTTGATGGAGTTTGGGCCCACATGGGCAGCTAGTCAGGTTACGAGAAGGAAAAAGGCAAGGAAATAGAAGGACTAAAAGGATGCCATGACTGGATTCTTTTCTTGAAAGGGAGTGGCCAAGTGCATGCTGGTGATCCGAGGAGTGAACCCTGCAGGTGCATCACTCTGCTGCCTGATCCACATCCTCAGAGACCAGCCATTTGGCCCAAAGCCACGGAAAATACCAGTGCTCCAGCTTCAGGAAAGAGTTAGTGCATAAAATTACTAAGCTATGCAGAAATTTTGGAATATATTTCAAGAGTTTAAGATTGTCATTAAAGGTTCCAAAGCTGTACTCACCTAGTGATATATTTAAAAAGGAATTAAGCTTAAGTAATCAACATTCAGCAGAAAAAAATGTAACTACAGAAGGATTCATTCCACAAAGAATTTCATCACTAATGAGGTTAATAGAAGTGTCACCAGTGAGCTGACCCTCTTGTCAGCTCCACTTAGAGGGAACTAATGCCAGAATGATGGGCTCAAGACTCCAGGGCTGTTATGGAGGCCACCAAATTAGACAGGCAGTGAACTGACTGCCTCTGAGTGAGTGAGGGGGTCACAGAGAGAGGTCAGGCCTTGAACTCCTGCTTCTATAAAACGGAATTGAAAATGAAAGGCCTCATACTGAATATCTGCAGTATTCATCTATTAAGGACTTCATTTTTAGAACAGTCTATCATGCCATGGACTTCTAAATCAGAATTTCCAAAAAACACAACGGCACTTCAAACATCTCATGAAAATAATGGAATTAAGCAATAAATTCATTTATGTGCAAAAAAACCTTACATCTATACATAGTTGTTTCATAACACATTTACCACGAACGTTTTAAAGACCCTACAGACAAGTAGGTGAAGGCAGTTTATTCCTGTCCCTCATTATGAAATGAAAAAGCCCAGTGAGTACAAAAACTATTGAGAAGGAGAGCTGGGCTGGAGTCCGTGTTTGCTTTTAGGCCCACGTGTTGATGCTGAGATGATCGAGCCTGCACTGGGAGCCAGATCCTTGCCTTTACCGGGGGACTGGGTGGCTCTCTGAGCCCCAAAACTAATTCTAGGCTGTTCAATCATTTAAAAAAAACAACTACTTTGTGGAGAAAATGCTGCCAATTTTCACTTTTGCTGCAAAGCTAAATGTGACAGCTTCCAGGAACCTGAGGCTAGCCAGCACCAGCAAACCAGGGTGCCTGTCTGCCTGATGGCGCAAAGAAGGATTCATAAAGAAATAAGATGCCAGCTGCCAGGCAATTCTTTTACTTTTTTAGTAGGCCTGAGAAGAACAATCTTGCAAAATATGCAGATATGATTTTTAAAAAATGGAAAAAGCAGGGAGGAATTCTGGAATGCCCTGGGCCCAGTAAATCAATCCAGGAAGATGGTAACCACCACGGGACATACAGCCAGACTTACAATAGTCTTCTGAGTTCTGGAACACTCATGAGGAAGTGACTGCAGGAAACTCTAGCCAACAACTGGGGTTTCCTCCCTTCTGTTCAGATGTTTGTCTGACTGGCATTTGCTATACCCAGAACTTCCAGTAAAACTAAAAAAGTAAAGTGTTCAAGATAAATATGATCTGATCATTGAACCACCAGCCACCTCCATGCAGTTTCTAGATTCGAAGTCTGACCTCAGTGCAAGAGGGGGCGTTTCAAAGACTGAGGGACAAGCCCTAGTCAATGGCAGGGCATGACTGCCCGTGGCCCTGCTCATTGCGGGCAAGGATTCCCTCATGAAAGTGCTTGTCGAATCTGTTCTGAGGCAGCCAAAGGACACATAAAACAGTCAAGATATTTTTAAGTTTAATTTCACCATTTAGAAAGAAATCTTTTCAAGGATGGCACAGATACTACTGGGGTCTACAAAGAGGTCACATCTGCCATGTGACAAAACCAGCCCTCTCAATTGGCTCCTGATACCCAGAACACCACATCCTCCCAAGAGGAGGGCACCACAGAGAAGTCTGCTAATAGGCTGGGATCCCACTTTCCAAGGGGTCACTGCTTTTGTAGCCTTCTGTATCTGTAATCTCATCAAAAAGGCAAGGCCCCTCCAGGGATCCCAGATTCTAATAACATTATTACACTTCCCTCTAAAGAATCAAACTTCACTATTCTTTTATAAATATATTCAGAAATGTCTCTGCCAAACTGTATCAACTGGCTAATGCCCATCAATGTCTAGTGAATGTTAAAATTTCTGTTCCCAATCTAATGGTACATTTACTTCCTAATAGTTGCTGTAGTAATTTAGGAAGCACTGGAAACATCAAAATTAACCTAATCAGCCTGCCAAAACGATCTCATCACTTCTTTCATACTGCATTCCCAAGACTGTCGATCCTATTTTTACATCATTTTAAGTTTCCAGGAATCCCTAAGAAAAATAGTTCAATACAAATATCATAAGGCTAAAGGGATCAACAGAAGTTCAGCTTACCAGTAAGTTAGTTGAAGAGTGTAACCAAGTCACAGATGTGTACATATAATGACAAATGTAAGCATGGAGCACGGAACAGGTGTGTTGGTGTCAAGAAAAAGAGCAGGATTCTATTAATTATTTTTCATTGTCATCACCAACATCATTGAAGTCAGGCAGTCCACTGGGAGACCACTTAGTTCTCATCTGCAAGGAGGCCTGGTCTTTTCCTAGAAACATCTTTATCCCAGGGTTCCACTGCCAAGGGGTCTTTACGGATGATCATTGTGATTCATAATTTAGACAGCTTGCTTGTCAAAACCTCAGAACTAAAAGAATAAAAGCCATCCTCGGGTGGTTCAAACAGTATCTCTAAAGCAGGAGGACTGGGGCCAAAGTCAGCACCAAGGAAGTGTGGAAGAACTACAAGTTCTAATTATAAAACTGTGACAGGAGGTGCTGACTTCCTTTACTACCTGTTAGCCTTCACTGCTCATTATCCTTAACATTAGTCCCAGGACTCAGGCAGGGAGAACTAGACACAACTTTAGAATTCCACCTGTTACCTCTGTAGTACGTGATCTATCAGTCCTTACTGCCACATAACTGTTGCTTGGAGAAATATCAAAGTGTCAGTCACTTTTCCTTTCTCCACAAGCTCAAACAACAGCATCTAGTGAGGACCACGTGAGGGGTGGAACAGCTTTTGAAGATCTCTGCTTTGCCTTGCCAAAGCCAACAGTTTGAAACAGGGCTCCTTCAAACATGTGGTCAAGGGGCCAAGGAAGAGTGGGCAGTTCCTCCAAAGGCCAGTTTCTCCCACTACTGTCTCTACCACAAAGCCGTACTAAAGAATATCATGATGCGATTTTTGAAGGGCTACCATGGTTGGGGGGTGGGGTCGAATTGTAGCATGAAATACAGCACTGATGCTCTTGGTTACCAGTGCTCCTGCTCCCACGTCCAAAAAGACACTCCAGCACCTCTCGCTCTGCTGGGACAGAACTGAAGAGAGCCAGAAGCTGCTCACTTTTGTACTCGGCCAAGGGAGCCCTGGCGGTGTTCCTTCCCATCTCTCCATCTAGTTCCTACCTAGTGGTTAGCTTGTGCCTCTCCTCACAAGAAAACCAGCAACTCTGAAGGGAAGGTCCACCTTTATAAACATATGACAAACTCTGCCCTTTCCTTTTCTTTCATTTATAGCACAACCTTGTAAATCCCACTATTATTAAAAATCTTTTCAGCCTTCAGGACAAAATATGGATTCACACCATAATGTGAGAACACACTCCCTCCTCCACCCCGATTCTGGAATCCTAGGTTAGACATTTTGAACAAGAATTCTGGGGATAGCATATTAAGACGTCCATCATTAATTTAACCAAAAGCACACACATTTCTTCCCAGAAGGCCACATCCCAAGTTGCCTCCATTCAGCTTACAACTTGCAAACTCAGTCCTGCTGGAGACCACCAGCAGAAATGAGCACGGCACTTGGAAGGGGACTCCGGTGGCACAAGACTAGGAAGGGGTGCAGGAAATATTTTCTTTAGGATGACTCGCACTCACAACCTTAGCCCTATCTTGTCAGGATGTGGGGACCCACAGGCCACCAGGTCCATTAGGTGCTTATGCTTGTGGTTCAGGGACATGAAACAGAATTGTACAAACCAAAAAGAGCAGCTGCCCACTCCCCGAGGGTCCACGCATGCAATTCATTTGAAGCTGATTTAGGAGCACTACTCACACTTGTATATTTCCCAGAATGGTACCCAACAAGTTTGGGGTGAGCCACACACTGGGATTCTGTAAGCTTGGATTTCCTAAAATGTTCTCAACTCACACGGTCCTTGTAATGATTGAGCTTCTGTAGCCTGTATTCTAGACTCTCCAGTTCTGCACTCAAGGCAGAGCAGACTATGGTCTACAACTCCTGGAGCTCTACCACCTCTTTCCATACCTAAAGCTGTTATCTGACCCACCCGTAATGATTCTCTAGCTTAGAGCTGCTAGAAAACATTAGTTGACTTTTCTCCTTTCTTTTGGCTCATCTGGTGGCTTTGTGAAAGAAGGATGTTTTCCCCAAGAGTAATCTGCTTCAAAAATAATCTTTGTGAATAAAATGGGAAATATCACAAAAAATGAAAAGGAAAATTGACTGGAACTCATCTGACCTTTATCCAAGTTTTGCCACTTAACACACTGAAGCTCAGGAGAACAGGAAGAGAACCTCACTTCCTCAGCTCATGGTCTCTCTTTGTGACCTGGATCAAGTGGGAGCTGAGCCCAGCGGAAACTTCCATATTACCTCGGGGCATTACCAGGGGTGTTTCTTTTTTAAATTAGAATTCTCAGTAAATATGACAATGTTTACTGACTCATCCTGTGCTGGTAGCCAACAACTTAGAGGAGGTAACAAGGAAGCATTAAATTCCTCAAACCAGGTCTGCTGGGGAATCCCCAAGCCACTTTGGGATCAGTGGCAGGCAGATGCCAGCATTCAGATGCCCCACGCAGGTGGGAAGATGGTGAGGGGCACTCCATAGACTCATCCAGGTAGAACCAAGAGGACACCATGTAGATACGGATAAAGGATCAGGAAAACTGGCCAACAATCCTAAAAAAGCTGTCTCTGTGTCAGAGCTTTTCAACTATTTCTGACATTCCTGGGACACTTCTGGACACAGGATGCCTGGCCCCTTACCTGCCACCCACCTTTCTCCCTGAGGTCATTCTCCAACTTCCCTCAAGTCCTTTCACCCCCTCGGTCAGGACAGTAACAAGAAACAGGACACTGAGAATATCTCAAGAATACACCAAAGTATTCTAAGGTCTTAGCTGGGAAATAGAGCTCCAGGATGGCAACACTATCAGTGAAAATGTTGAAAAATTCAGAGCTCACAGGTGCTGCCATAAAGAAAAGGCAATGGAAATGCTAATGACTTGATCTGATCAGTTTATGCTGTAAATATGTGTCAAGATACTAAACGGTACCCCATAAAGATGTTTCAGTATTACATGTTAATTTTTAAAATTTAAAATAAGTTAATTAAAATGTAAAAAAATCAAATTAGCTATTTGATATCAATATAAATCAAAATGAGCCACAGAAAATTCCTTTTTTCTTTACTGAATTTATGTGAGGTATTTTATATGTCCTCACATTTAATCTGCATTCTGAAATCATCACCTTTGACTCTTTCCCCCACTAAAAAATTCACAGCTAAGATGCAGGTTTAAAAAAAAAAAGATTCAAAACTAGTTTTCTTATTTCAATAGATGGGTTCTAGACATAAGAAACAGAATAAATCACACTATACTAATCACTTGAATAATTAAAGTAGATTATCACTATACCAAAGTATATTAAAAGAACATTATCAAGCCATCTGATTTATAAATATTATGTTGAACAGTCACTATTTGGGGAATTTTACCTAAAGAAACTGCTGTAATTGATCTTCTGTTGAGCCAATACTCTCTCTCCTGGGTGACATTTCACTCTAGGACTCCTGAATGAGGCCAAATGTGAATATTAATGAATCAGCCAATGGTTATAATTGAATATCTACCCTGGAGAAGCGACTGAACTTTGGAAAATATTTCCCTCTTTTGTCTTATTAATACACCTGAGTGAGGCATAAGGTTTGGTGATTAGGCAAGGGTGATGTCAGTAATAAGGAAGAGACTCAAGTGAGTTCATTAAAAGGGCTCAGCAAGGACTCAATATGCAGCCCACAGTTTAGTCCTCGAAAATCCACAGCACACCATGAACTGAAGATGGGACCAACATTTATTCCCTGACAGTACATCTCTTGGGCCATTTCATGTTCACGTGAAACAAGTATACAAATAACACCAGGCCACAAGGAAAAACTCAATAAATTTTATAGTAGTGTCACAGACGCTATGTTCTATAAACAAACTGCAGTAATATTGGAATTTTTAAAAGCAGAAAAAAAAATCCTATATGTCTGGAAGTTACCTCCCTGAGTTAAAAATAAGATCACAGGTCAGCATTGTGGTAAGGCAGGTTAAGACTCAGCCTGTGATGCCAGCATCCCATACAGGTGCCAGTTCAAGTCTCAGCTCTGTACTTTGGTTCCAGCTCCCTGGTAACGGCCTGGGAAAGCAGCGGAAGATGGCCCTAGTCCTTGGACCCCTGCACCCACATGAGAGGCCTGGAAGAAGCCCTGGGCTCCTGGCTTTGGCCTGGCCCAGCTGCACCTATTGCAGCCATTTGGGGAGTGAATCAGCAGAAGGAAGATTTTCTCTCTCTCTCTCTCTCTGTCTCTCCTCCTAACTCTGCCTTTCAAATAAATAATAAATCTATCTTTAAAAAAATCAAAAGAGAAATTATAAAATATTTATAACTAGATATTCATGAAAATTTTAAGTGTCAAATTTTAGGAGATCACAGCCACAGCAATATCCGGCAGGAAAGGTATAGCTTTAAATAAATTTATCAGGAAAAAATTGAAATCATTAGAAAAAAGATTTGGTTAAGCAGCATCTCCCATATAAATGCAAGGGAAAACGTTGTTTGGATTCAAATAGCAATATCTGTTCAAGATAGGGGATTCTCCAGTTAAACTTTGGTGAATACAATGTTTTAAACAGAGACCTGCAGCCACGGAGAGTTGTCAGTTTAACATGTCTCATACGCATTATGTTTCCAGCTAGGACGAACCCTAAGGAGCCCTTTCATGAAGTTTGTAGCCCACGCAGTTTCGTTTACAATCTTTTTGGGATTATTAGTTGTGAATGCATCGGACCGATTTGAAGGCGTTAAAACTCTACCAAATGAAACCTTTACGGACTACCCAAAACAGATCTTCAGGGTGAAAACCACACAGTTCTCCTGGACGGAAATGCTCATCATGAAGTGGGTGTTAGGTAAGCAAGTGGCTCTTTGCCCCTCCTCTCCCAGTTTCAACCATGTGTTATCACACTCTGACTTCTGGATTCGCCCTCTTGGGGGTGCTCCTGACAGGCAGAACGGTGAGTGGTGACCAATAACAAAGTCAAAGTCAAATTCACGTTCTATAGGTGCTGGTGTATAAGATGTACTGAATATATTATAAATCCCAATGTTGAAAGAAAATGTTTGGGGGAATATTTGTTAGGTACTTTTCATTAAACATTACTGAAAGTGCCTGAAAAGTGGTTTTGCATGGGAAATATATCATTTTAATCATTTAAAAATAGTCTCCTGGAAGCCTTAGGAAATCAAGTTCTATATCTGAAAAAGGTATAAAATTCCCCAGCTAAAAGATTGATTTTTATCACTAAATACTGCTAAATAGAATTTTGATAATGAGTACAAATCTAGAAAGTTAGGGGAAGAACATTTTCTCATTATTTGTAGATATGAACGTGCTGAAAGGTCATAAAATTCCTCTTTGTGCTGATATTCATGCTGCTGAGGCCTGCCACTGAATTGCCCAAGAAACTGTTCCCAGTGTGCTCACTGATTAGTTAAGAAAGGCTACCCCTCTTTTACCCAGTTCATAAGAAGCAGTACAGTGGTAATCAGCAAAATAAATAAAACTGGCTAAAACTGAGTAGGAAAAACTGAAAACTGCAAAATTTGGCAGAAAAGGTAAGTCTCAATAGAAAAATGAAAAATTGCAAAACCTGTAATCAGTGATTTCACATATAAGCAAAACTTTCTCAGTAAGTTGTAATATTTACATCAACAAATTTTAATTTTATAGGAATATTTTGAGTAAAACCATAGCTTTTTAAAAAAACTGAAATTTTTAATTATACGATATCAAAATTTGACGAATTAATTGAATTGATTCAATGGTAATTCACCCCCAATTTTGAATATATATTTATATTCACTAACATTGAGTAAAAAGTATGCATGATCAAAACGACTGTGCCAGCAATCAATAAAATCACAAAAGAACAAATACTTGAAAAATAATATTATACATGACGTGTGCTAAGTGAAAAAGCGTAAGAGCTGAACCACTAGAGAGCATGTGATGTATGTGGACAACTGGGAGAATGGTCTCTATGCCGAATAGGCAGATTGAAATGAGACCAATGGTTTGATCCAAAGGGCAGAGGCAAGACAGCACACCATGCCTCACAGGACTATTAGCCAACCAGCAAGCCAGCGATCCAAGCCTCATACTAGAGAGCCATGGACGGGCACTACAGTAGGGGAGGAACTATGAACACTGTTCCAGAGTGAGTTCTGTGGCCTAATTTTCTTAGTTCAGAATCTGTCTCAATTATCCCTAGGACATCCCACATGGTTTAACTAAAGTAACACTTTAACAACAGGCACATTAAAAAACAAACTCACATGTTGGATTTACAGATCAAAATTTCAAGTGTTAATGACACCAATCCCCCACCCTACCTTCCCACCTGGACCCCAGGTAGAAGACTCAGGTGACAGCAACATTGTTTACTTTGAGCAAGTGGAGCTACCCTATGTTGATGGTTCCTAGGGAACCATGACTTCATCTCAAGTCCTCAGTGTCACAGTACTATCCCAGTAAGAAGGAAGTACCTCCATCTGAAGGACCCAGACTTGTAATGCTTTGTCCCAGCTTCTAGCCATCAAAGGAGGGTTGAGTTTTCAAGACAGTTACATCAGAAATACTGTACAAGAAGGGCTTGCATCTCATTGACTTCATTCCAAAAAGTTTCAGACAGAGTCAAGAGTCTTTCTTAAAGAGAATTTTTCAAACTTTTTATTAAAAATGATTCTAAGTAAACACAAAACTCAACAGAAGAGCAGAATGAACCCCAAGGAGATATTTCTTATCTTCAAAAGCAGCAATTCATGGCCAGCCTCTGCTTCATCTGTTCTCCCCCATTTCCCTTCTCCTTAGTCTGAATTATGTGGAGGCACATGCCAAGAATCATACAACTGCATCTCTAAACATTTTTGTGCCTTTCACTAAAAGGTAAATTCTCTTTTTCCTTTTTTTAATCTTTTTGCTCTGTGTGCTTCAATATTTACTGTTCTTTGTAGTGTCTGTGATTTTAATCCCAAGTAGTGAATTTTTCATTGCAGACATTACATACTTAAATCTTTGAAATTTTATTTGGTTCTCTATCTCCTATTTTCTTCTTCACAATGTTTGTATTTTCCTTTAAATCTTTGACTATATTGTATTTATGGTAACTGTTTTAAGGTCTTAACCTCCAACACCTCTGTCACTGCTGAGTCAGTTTCTATTGTCTAATATTTCTGCTGGCTATGGATCACATTCTTCTACTTCTTGACATTTCTTATTGAATGACGGGCACTTTCTATGTTATGTTGTTGATTTTGTTGTCTTCCTGAAAGAGTTTCTTGCTTTATTCTGACAGGTTGTTGCATTATTTGCAGATCTGTCTGATCCTTTTTAAGCTTTCTTACAGAGGATCTGGAGACAGTTTACTGTAAGGATTATTTATCTTAGTCCTGTGATGAAATCCTGCCAGGGTCTCTACTGTCAACTCTGGATAGTCAGAGCTCAAACTGTTCAGCTTACAGCTCCCTGGCTACTGTTAGTGAAATCTCACTACATGCTCATGACTTAATAGTCAGCAAACATTCAAAAGAGCTCCAATTTAAATTTCTGGGGTCTTATTTTTGTTGTTGGTTTTGTAGTTTTTGTTTGTTTGCTTGCTTGCTTTTGCATAATATCCTCCTCTCCGGCGCTGTGCCACACAACACCTCAACATCTCCACTTTCCTGAACTCTAATCTCAACCTCTTCAACTCAGTAAGACAGCCTGACATGCTGTGGGGACTGAGCTGCGCCTCCAGAGAGACAGGGTGATCATACAGCTTACCTTAGTTGTTCATCTTTTGTTGGGAATAGCAGTCCTGTGCTGAAATCCTGAAAATCCCAATTCTGAAAAGAGCTGTTTGAAATCAGGACACGTTTTCTAAAGCAGAACCAGAAAACTATTGTCACACATAAAAGAAAATTGTCTCAAATATCCAGTCAGTAATCAAATTTCTTTCATTGATAGAGGTAGGCTGAATGAATATCTACACAACTTACTTCCTTTTTACAGCCCTTTGTTCAAATTTCAGCTTATCAAAAACAGTTAAACAGGTAAAAGCATGATCTTGCCTATTGTGGCAAGACGAAAAACATTCCAGACAAAAGGAAGAGCATGTGTTAAAGCCTGGATTCGGGAGCAAGCTGGACATTTTCAAGGAACAGCAAAGAGAGCAGCATGGCTGGAACAGATGAATGAGAGGGAGAGAGGGAGAAATGAGGCCATGGGGTAGCCTCCACAGAATTTTGAGCACAAAAGCAATATCATCTTACTTCAGTTCTTAAAGGGTCACTGACTTCTGCGTAGAGAACAAATAATTATGGGACAAAGCAGAAGCAAGGAGACCAGGTTGGAGACTTCTGCAATAATTCAGACAGGAAATGACTGGTATGAAGAAGCTGTAGATGATTATATTCTGAAGGCAAAGATCAGTAATATGCACTATTAGAGTATTAGAAACAGAGCAGTCAAGGACAATATCAAGCACTGTAGCTCAAGCAATGAGAGACTATAAAGTCATTCAAGCCAGGAAAGATGCAGAAAGGAGCTCTGAAGAGGGAGTAGACATGGAAATAAAGAATTCAATTTGAGACCAATATATATTAGACATTCAAGTGGAAATGTCAAGTAGCAAATGGATATACAAATCTGAAATTCAGAGGAAAGGTTTGGGCTGAAAACATAAAAAAGTACTTTTTAAAGTTCATGAAAATGCACATTATAAAAAACTATGTATGGACTTCAAAAATTTTCTGCACCAAAATAAACTTATTTTTTAATTCCATTTTTCAAAACCTTTTAGAAGGTCCCTCATAAACTTATGCATATCAGTGCATTTAAAGTAAATGATACCAGATCACCTTGACTGCAAATGTGTACAGATGAACTGATGACCAAGCCCTAGGGTACAACAATGCCTAAACTATGGGACAATAAGAAGTAACCAAAAAGGAGACCGGGCTAAGAAGGAAACCAACTGTACTGACCCAGAAACCAATCAAAGTAAATGTATCAAGAACTGGGGAGTGATCATTTGTGTAGAATGCTGTTGATGCATAAAGTGACACGGCACCTGAGACCTGCCGCTGGCTTTGGAAGTAATCTATCGGAGTGGGTACCGCAGGATGGGATCCGTGTGCAAGTAGAGGCTGTGGTTTCATCAGGAACGTGGATACTTTACCCACTGATAGGAGGGAAGGTAGAACTGAATGCCCAGGGCAGTTGGGTTTGCTACAGTGGTAGGAGTATGCAGAAGTTCTCTTTGGCAATTTCTATTTCTCATATTCTTTTTCAAAAAAATATGTTGTTGTTTTTAAGCACTATATTATATATCAAACTCTGTGGTAATACTAGGGAAGAAGCTACATATAAAACTAACTTTTTGTGTCTTAAATACCTTCTGAAGCTCTATATTATTGTTATTATAAAAATAATTATAGTCTTTGAGAGAAAGATCTGAGCACTGTGTTCATGTAGGAAAAGGCTCTTCGTGTTAACAGACGCTAGTATCCAGCATCTGATCACCTGCTCAGACACGGAGGGACAAACAGGAACACCAGACCTCTGCTTTTGGGGATGTGGAATTCTACTCCCAGATACTGGGAGGCCTGGTATCACCTAGAAACACAGCAGCTCACTCTCTTCTCCCGGGACGTATTACACACAGAAGTATGCTAGACAAACTGGTTACAATAATGCCAAACCTTACTCTGTCTCAGCAGCAGCACTCTGGGGGAGAAGAGTGCCTTAGGACCCTAACAAGTTCAGCCTGCTCCTCTCAGAGGAAGCGTCTGACCAGACAGGTAAATGGCCTTGTCCTGGTCTCCCTGCCTTCCCCTTCCCACCTCTATCCTACAGCCTCCTAACACAGGAGTCAGAGTGATCCATTTCAAATGTAATTGAATCTTGTCACTCTTTCTTCAAACTGTTCCGTAAGTCCCATCTCTGTCCAGGGTATTTAAAGCAGGAGCATGGGAGCCTGAGGCCACAGGGAGACTAAGAAGATGCAGCTAGAGAGGGAAGAAAACCCAAGAGAACACGGTATCAAGGAAGCCGAGAGCAGAGCATGACTGATGAAGGAGGGTGGGTTTTCTGATGCACACACTGGTCCTACAGAGCGAGAAGTGGCTTGGAGAAGTCTAAAGGAAGCAGTGGCCATTGCTCCCTCCACCTGGTCAATCTGTGTCATCAGTTCACAGCACAGGAACCTATTTTTATTATCTACACTGAAAGCAGTGACTCCAGAGTGGCTGAAGAGCTTTTTCTACTGCAGTGTGGGTCTAGAAATGTTCATCAGAGGTCTGTGTAACAGCATTAGACGTTCCCAGAGAGCCAACAGAGGCTTACTGGTCAGGCAGGGGCTCCACAGTGCGTGCGATTTCTCCACCTAGGAGCACAATCATTTCACAGAAGACTCTGTTCCTGTCTTACAGAAAACCTTGCAGATGCCCCAGTACTGAAAACTCAGGGGATGGCATGAGGCACAAATGCCTGACATGGTATATGAATACACTGTAAATGCTGGGTAGGATAAAAGAGCTTGGGATGGGGTTCCAGTAACCCAGTCCTGACTGTGCCCCTTTCTCTTTGGTGGCTTTGCCTCTCTGAATTTTTGTTCACATCTGCAAAATGCTAGAAGCCAGCTCTTCCCTCACCCCAAACCACTCAAGATTTAAAAATACTTGAGGACAGAGCTGAATCTTAGCTCCAGAATCACACATTTAGGTTTAGCCAAGAGTAAAATTATAAAATCATGGGTGCTGGCTTCTAATCTAATGCATTCTTATAACGGTGTCTTCATTTATTTAGGCAAGAGTCCCAAAGAGACCACCCCAAATACTTGCCAGAGTCTCTCGCAGTTTCAAACAACACAAGTTGGTGCCCTCTTCATCACTTTTGGGGGCTGCCTAGATGCAGGGTGAGCCCGAGTCTCGTCAGCATGAACTAAAGCAGAAGCCTGTTAGCGTCCACTATGCCTTCACTAGCTCACCTGCAGACATGCCCCAACCCCACTCCTTGACCTCTGAATGATACTGAATACCTTACAACTGCCTAGAAGGGCCCCTCTCCCTCACTCCCAGGGCCACCATCTGGAACACCCTGCCAGTCCCTCCCCAATCACCTAGCTAAATCCTGCTTCCTCACCCCAAGTGTCACCTCCCCCATGAATTCACCCCTTCACTGAGTCAACAGATACACGGCACACCCAACACCCTGCTGCGTTCCATGACCACAGTGCTGACCCACTTAACTCTGTGACTCCAGGAACAGTCCCCAGCGTACTTGTCATTACACCATCGCCACCCTCTAGCACTGCTGTCCATGGACACATGTGTGTGCAGCACTAGACTGAGTTTGCTGGGAAAGTAGTCATCATCTTGGTTATTATACCCCAGAATGGCGGCTGGCACAGAAGTATAACTCAATCATCTCAATCAGGTGGGCAAGTGAGTTCCTGACCACTGGGAGTAAGCCTGTGCCTTACTGAGGACAAGGTAGGAGACAGGACAGTAGACAGCAAGGGTCCCAGACTGCTGGTGTGATTCTGAACAATTCACATTCCTCCTTCATCTATGAGTTTCTTCAACTTTAAAGTGGGGTGCATTACAGTAGCTATCGACCAGATTAATATGGACAGTGCTGAGCACAGGGCGTGGTACCTAAGGCACTCAATAATTGCTGGCTACTATAATCAGAAAAGAGGAGGAGGAAGAAGAACTTCACTATTTTTTTTTAATATACTACTGTCGTGAACCTGGAATATGTCTGAGGCTAGATTTGTTCCCAAGAATCTACCACCGAGGCGGTGTTTGGATGCTAGGCCTTGTGGGGTGACAGCTTCTGGACTTGTTTTGCTTCCTGTGAATTCACAAAACATCCATGTCTTGGACCACAGTGGAGAAGTTGGCCTGGGGAAACAAAGAGGCAGATGTAGGGGCCGGGGACAGTGTGCAGGAAGCCCCAGGGGCCATGATCATTTACGGGATACACATTTAAGTTTCACAAGACTCTGAAGAGGAGCCCTGCTCAATATCCCTGGGTCAGGAACGGGGAGAGCTGCACTCTGGGCCATCAGGCTCCATCTCCACAGCCTGTAGGCCATCACTCAGAGCCTGCCTACATCAAGCTACTCATTGCCCTTGAGGGTCCCTGGAACTTTCCAAACTGTGCCTGTGCCAGGCCCCCTCCTTAATTATCAGTGACCTTGTTCTCGGAGCTCCAAGAATCCCTGACAGAAGGAAATCTTGCCTGAAGGAGGCTCAAATGTCCAGCATCTTCAACCCCTGGGCCCCTGGGCTCTAAACACGTGTCTGATTGACACACTAGAGGCAAAAGGCCGTGGAGCTCAGCTTGGATACAAAATGCTGAGCTAACCTTAGCACCTTAGAAGCAAGGGGCCTAATTTCACTCGCTAAAGTACTTAATTTCACACATTTCTTTTTTCATTAAGCATTCCTGCTGCTCAAACACTTGGGCCCTTGTTACTTTTACTTATGGCCATGGACTAATTTAAATTAGCCTGGGAGAGTTCACATTTAAATCAAGGAAGACTGATGCAGGCATTTGACCGTGGAGGAAGAGATTTGCAATGCCCAAGGAGATGCTACTGTATCTGTCAGGAAAGTTAGTTTTCTGTAAATAATTTGCATTTCAGATTCATGGAGCTTTCAGTGTTTGAAGTTACCCTAAAACCTCAATTCACTCCATGAGTATAAACTCCAAGGTCCACCAAAAAGCAAGAGACTTATCCAAAGTCACACAGCCAGTAATAAGTGGCCAAGCCAGAACTTGAACCCAGGGTTTCCCAAAATAAAGCCAATCACCTAAATGACAGCCTGTGGTTCTCTAATGCCAGCTAAAAGCAGTCCCACTAAGCCATTAGGAATTTTAATTTGGCAGCAGAGGAAAGCAACAAACATTTCTTCTGGCCTGAAATGGTTTTTCTAATAACACTTTTAAAATGCCTATCTGAATAGGCACAGATGAAAGTAGATTTCAGAAGTAAGAAAACTATTACTTCATCGAATTATCACACAAATTTTGATAGGGCATGCTTAAGAAAGGGCTCCATTACAAAAAAAGACTGGGGGTAGGGTGTGGTTGGAGCATCTTTCAAACAAACCTGCAATGTTATTGGTATTTCCAACTATGGGGACTGCAATTTGATAGAGACATGCTGATCTTCATCAGACAAAACCATCACACTTGTCTCAACAGCTGCTCTGAAATTACCTTTCTCCTTAGAAAAACATTTTGATTCCTTTCATTTGCTGGGCCATTTTCACCAGAAAAGGAAAAAGTCTGATGCAAACAGTCCCTGGACAGAGGCCCAGCTCACCAAACAGATGTGCCCAGATGTGGGTCTGTGACCAAGCAGGCCATGCTATGGCCAGAACAGAGAGCCCCCATGACTGCCTGTCTATCCCCAGTGTCATCTGTGACTCCAGGCTTTGTCAGCACCTGGGCCCTCCAAGGCTACTGCTTGATAATATGAGCATTTGTCAAGATGCTTGGGTTTGAGGACTGGGGCAAAGGAAGCACGTAACATACACAAATGGTTTAGGCATAGACCTGTCTGCGGGAGTACGGGCTGTATGGAGACAGTGAAGATCACAAGGTTTGACAGCTTGGCTTGGGAGTCTGTTCTGTATCTGGGGGTTATGAGGAAGACACTGCAAGTGTCTGAAGAGGGAAGTGACCACGATACGACCTGTACTTTCTAAGTGACGAGAATGGAACAGAAAACTGAAAAGTCAAGATGTATCTGGGCGTATACTAGAATGAATCGGCAGAACTGTGACGATCCCTGGTAGCAGCTGCAGGAGTCAGGAGTACAAGAGAAGGTAGCAGGAGGCGGTGGTGGGACAAAGTGGGAGTGAGAGGGAGGCGAAGGCCAGTCTGCCATATGTGTACTTCCGACACTGGCAAAACACCACTACCAGCAGTCTCTTTGCATGGCGGGAATTCAGCTTTGAAGCAATTAAGAAAAATAGGATACTCATCCATGAGACACAATTTCAGAGTTGTATGCATTTACTCAAGGTCATAAGGAAGAATGATAATGGCCACACACCTGGGAACCAGCAGCCTTGAAGACTGGGCAGCAGAAGATGGAACAGGTTGGGGGCAGCTGGGCAGGCCGACCATCAGGTCTGAGGCCCAGGGCAAGGAAGGGCCTGGAGAGGTTAGCGGGGTAGCCTTCTGGACACCGTCAGTGAGCCGGAACTGCTTCACTCACTCATCAGCCAGTACTTCTTCCCCCACATTAACCCCCTCGAAACACACAGGCTAAGCGTTACCCCGGTTCTGCATCAAATCTTCCCCAGCTCAGAGTAGCTGCAGGGCCCCCGAGGCCTTTTACAAACTGTGCAAGAGTCTTTTCTGCACATTAACTGCTTTGAACCCAATTTTATTTCCTGGAGAGCCAGAAGAACACAGTGATCAAGAGCACAGACTCTAGGGCCAGACATTTTGGATTCCAATTCCGGGTCTGCGGCTTCCCAGCTGGGCACATTACCGCCCTCTGAGCTTCCGCTTCGTTATCTGTAAAGCTGGGATAATCACAGGATTTCTTCCTGGAGCTCTTGCAAAGATTTAAAGGAGTTAACACAAGAGGGTACTTCAAAAATTCTGCAGAATATCTGAATTAAAAGATACTTTTTAATACCAAGATGTTATGAAATCCATGCACAGTTTTTCATAAGATGTATTTTCTATGAATATTTCTGAAGATACCTCATATGCACAAGTTTCAATTTATGGACCAAAACAGACTTACCTTTTCATTATATTTTCCATAAACTTTTGAAGTATATATACATAAATATGCCTACAGAGACATATATAGAAAGCACTAAGTAGGTGCTAGCACTTAGTAGGTGTCCAAACTAACTCTATGGCTAAGTTTAATAATTTGAGTCAATTTAACTTTATTAATATAAAGGTAAAAATCAGCACTATTCAATAAAAATATACTGCAAGCCACTGCTGCGAGCCACATAGTATGTTAAATTTTCTAAAGCCACATTATAAAAACAAACAGATGAGATCAGTCATACATCCCATCTAACCTACCCAAAACAGTATCACTGCAACACGTAACTGATGTAAAGCATTCCGATATTTGATATTTGCCACAGAAAATCTGGTGTGCACTGCACACTCCTCACGCATCTCAACCGCTCGGTGTGCACACTCGGCCGCCATCCTGGACAGTGCAGGTCTAGACGGACACGCAGCTCACAGAGCTGCCTGGAGGCACAGTGACATCCTGTCCGTGTACCTCTACAGATTTACTATGTCACAACGAAGACAGACGCCCTTAAAACCCGACAGACGTCAAAGGAGTAAGAAAAGAACCTAACAGCCCCGAACTGACGCTCACGGGCACAGTGAGAGAGAGCAGCGCCTCATTCAGGAGCTAGGGGAGCCGGGATCTTCGCAGAGCAACCTTGAAAGCCCTTTCCCGTGAGCGGCCTCCATCTTCCTCTAGTTAACTCCCAACTGAATGATTCCTTAAGACCTGCCAGTTTTAAAAATGTTGAAACCCACGCATACGAGGAGTCTTCCAACAACGTTCTCGGAAAATCCGTATTAAAAAAAAAAAAGCAATGCATAGATTTCAAATTTTCTGCACCAAAGTAAACTTATCTTTTAATTCCATTTTCCCATGAGCCTTCTAATGTAGCCTCCCACGCCTCCAAGCACCGAGCGACGGGTGCGAGGGCGTCCTCCTCTCCGGGAGGACTCTGTCCCCGGCTTGTGTCCGAGCCCTCTGGGGCTCACGAGCGTCACGACCCCCACCCCAGAGCCCGGCCTTCTCCCCCGCCCGCAGGAATGATCTGGTCCGAGTGCAAGGAGATCTGGGAGGAGGGCCCGCGGGAGTACGTGCTGCACCTGTGGAACCTGCTGGACTTCGGGATGCTGTCCATCTTCGTGGCCTCCTTCACCGCGCGCTTCATGGCCTTCCTCAAGGCCAGCGAGGCCCAGCTGTACGTGGACCAGCACGTGCCGGACGACACGCTGCACAACGTCTCGCTTCCGCCGGAAGTGGCCTACTTCACCTACGGTGAGTCGGAGGGGCCGCTCGCTCCCGTTCTGCCCCGCGCGCTGCCGGGACCTGGGGCTGCGGTCCCGGATGTGTCACGGGGCTGGCTTCCGTGGGCCCCCCTTGCCCCTCAAAATCCCTGGTCCCTGCAGTGCAGCCAGCTTAACGGAACACGAGTTAGTAACGGGGAGTCTGCGCTGGGAGTATTTCTGTCGAGTTTGATTACTCACCTTTTGGGGTTTCTGTAAATTATTTAAGCTTTATTTTAGAGGGCGGAGAGAGAGTGCCCAGCTGCTGGATCTCGGTGGCCAGAGCTGGACTGGCCATAGCCAGATGCGGGGAACTCAATCTGCTTGAGCAGCAGAGGGTCTCCGATAGCGGGCTTTCATGGCAGGGCTCACACTGCCCCCAGGAATTCGAGTTTGCCTTGTGTAGCAAAGACACCTGGTCTGGCTGGCACGAATGGAAAAATCATGCCCAGTGGCCCAGCGTCGGTGTGCAGGCTTTGAAATCAGCTTGTTGTGCAACCTTGTCTTGCTTCACTTTTCTGAGCCTCCATTTGCTCGTGTAAAAACGAGGATAATAATACCCATGCCACAAAATTTGAGTAACAGATGGAAGAGGTTTGCACTATGCTCTGAAAATGCGGAGTGCTCACTAAGCGCTAACAGTTATCATTAGTACCTTTTCATTTTCTTAAACACCGTAATTTCTGTGCTGAGAGAGAAAGGTGAGCGGGTGAAGGAACAGTAGGTATGGGTTGTGTTGTAAATAGTAGCTGGATACTTAGTACTGAGTGAGTGCCAAATCTCCCTATTGCATGAAGCTGGATAGCCGTTGTGGCCACAGATTCCCTTCTGTCAGCTCCAACAGTGGTTTGTAGAGAGCTGGCCACTTCATGCAATAGTTGAACTGCTGCTCACTTTTTTTTTTTTTTTTTTTTTGACAGGCAGAGTGGACAGTGAGAGAGACAGAGAGAAAGGTCTTCCTTTGCCGTTGGTTCACCCTCCAATGGCCGCCACGGCTGGCACACTGCAGCCAGCGCACCGCGCTGATCCGATGGCAGGAGCCAGGTACTTATCCTGGTCTCCCATGGGGTGCAGGGCCCAAGGACTTGGGCCATCCTCCACTGCACTCCCTGGCCACGGCAGAGAGCTGGCCTGAAAGAGGGGCAACCGGGACAGAATCCGGCGCCCCGACGGGGACTAGAACCCGGTGTGCCGGCGCCGCTAGGTGGAGGATTCGCCTATTGAGCCGCGGTACCGGCCTGCTCACTTTCAATGTAGATTATGCTTCCTGTAAATGTGGTGGAAAACCCCCAGCGAGAAACGCAGAGTCTTGTAGTATTACAGACCCACCTCCCACCCCGCACTGTTTGTTGGTTTAGCAAATCCAGAATTTCTTACAGCAAAACAGGCTTGTGTCCTCTCTGTGCTGCACAGGGTTCATGGAGGAAGATGAGAATCTTGATACTGCATGACAAACCTGTGACAGACGCGATTCCAGCTGCAGTGTTATCAGCAGGGACTTCTATTCCTTTGTGAACTGCGTTCCTCACCCCATCCAAAGCAGACCACGCTATCGCCCTTGCTTTTGTGGTTCACCCCGTGCCCTTGGAAATGTGGCGTCTCTCAGTAGTCACTTGGGCTCCAGTCGTGGAGGAAGAGCGCCCTCTTGTGGTCAGCTGGGCAGTCGCTGTCCAACCGCCACAGGATGCCAGTGTTTCATATTCTAAAAAGGCACTTTTTCTCTTGCAAACAGCTCCAAGAAGAGAATCTCTGTCTGAATCAGCACAGTGCTGTTTGCTTTACCCATCACAATACCAACCAGAATACCCAAGCAAAATATTTTTCACAGAGAGTGTTTCCCTGGTCACCGACACCTGCCAACAGCTAAACCTATCTTAATAGATTGTAGCAGTGGCTTTTATGATTATAACTAAGGTTCAGATAAGGAATTATAGGCTTCAGAAAAAAGTAATTCCTCTTTGGTGTCTGTTTACTTGAGGAAGCCATCTCCTACTTCCTGTGTCCCAAATCTGCTGTTTATCCATAGAGTGACAGATAGACTGGAAATCACACCATTTTTTCTCCTGGGTTGTCTTTCATGGGCTTCAAAGTTACGACCTTGATGAGAACAAAGAGTATGTCACGTTACTGTATTTTCAAATGTAACTGGGAATGCACTACATGAAACTTTGTGGCCTGGCTTTTCTTATCAAGCGTCTCTTACTGCTCTTGAATACGATAACCGTTTAACAGAGTCTAGCTTTGAAAATAAAGAATAAAATTCTTTTCCTCCAGCTCCCTTGGGGTGCCAAGAATTGCCATGTAATATCCTTGCGATCTGCATTTGCTGGGCTCTGAAAGGGACCCCATACCCCAAATCCAGTCTTAAAGATGGCAACAATAATGTCCACTCCGCAGGGCTGTTGTGAAAATCGCTGCTAATGTAAGCGTAAGGGCTAATTTAGGTTTCTCAATGTTTCGCAATTGAAGCTTCACTTAGTGTTTCTCCCCAGGGACACCACTGGCTTTTCCAGTAGGGCAGTTGTCCTCTGCAGGGCTGTCTGGGGCATCCCAGGACATGAGCATCCCCATGATGCTCCTGCCCCGTTGCTGTGACAACCACACACTTCCCCAGGAGGGTAGCTCCGCCCTCTCTTGGGAACTGTTGCATGTCCTGACTCACAGTGGATGATGGACTTGAGATAGACGCTGTTCCTTGTCCTGTTAGAACAGCAGTAGGGGCTGGTGCTGCAGCTCACTAGGCTAATCCTCCGCCTGCGGCACCAGCACCCCGGGTTCTAGTCCTGGTCGGGGCACCAGATTCTGTCCTGGTTGCTCTTCTTCCAGTCCAGCTCTTTGATGTGGTCCAGGAAGGCAGTGGAGGATGGCCCAGGTCCTTGGGCCCTGCCCCCATATGGGAGACCAGGAGGAAGCACCTGGCTCCTGGCTTCGGATCAGCGCAGCATGCCAGCCATAGCGGCCACTTAGAGGATGAACCAATGGAAAGAAGACCTTTCTCCCTGTCTCTCTCTCTCACTGTCTAACTCTGCCTATCAAAAAAAAAAAAAAAAAAAAAAAAAAAAAGAACAGCAGTAGGAACTTTGGGCAGGTTTGCTCAGCGGCAGGAATACCCACAGGGCAGCTGAGACCCTTGTGGTCACCAGTGACAGCAGCAGAGTCCCCCGGCTCAGAACGGGTTCCTGGACTCCTGTGCGCAGGGATCAGCGCTCTCGTGGCTGCCCCGCCTGCCTGGTCACCACTCTGGAGGCCTGGCCACAGCTGGGGAGCAAGCTTCTCAGCACTCAGCAGCTCAGGAACGAGCCCCAGAGGACTTTCCCAGGTCAGGTCCTGCAGACTCCCGGTCCCCACGTGAGCGCCTGTGCTCTGCTTGTGGCTCATCTAACCCTGTGATTAAAAGCTCGTGCAGTTGTTTAACAAGGAGTGTCTGCCGTGTGTGCCAGACCCGATGCTTGTACCAAGTGGTTGATGATATTGTCCCCACTTCACAGGTGATGAAATGGGGCTCAAGCAGTGAGCTGAATTCCTCAGTCACAGAGTCAGTGTATACAAAAGCCACTTTCAACCTCAGTCTGCCTGTCCCCGCACCCAGGCTCTTGGCTGCCACCTCCTCGGGCTGTGGACAGCACCTGAGTGTGGAGCTGGAACACTGGGGAGGGGGACAGGACAGCAGGCAGTGTGACAGGTCCATGACAGGTGTGCACAGGATACCCTGGGAACATGGTGGGTGGAGACAGGGAACCTGCCCAGGTATGGGAGGTGCAGACGGCGCCTGAAACAGGTGACGCCCGAGCAAGGGGCACTTGGGAAGGACCCAGATGGGAGGAAAGGACATTCCCTCCCACACTCCGAGCATGGGTGGCACCATGCAGGTCCTGGGGTCATTTAAGAACAAGGGCAGGTGTGGCCAGTGACGCATTCGACACTTCTAAAGGGCAGATCCCACCCTCAGTGAGGAACCGGCTGTTTTCTTTTAGCCAGGGACAAGTGGTGGCCTTCTGACCCTCAGATCATATCGGAAGGGCTGTACGCCATAGCCGTCGTGCTGAGCTTCTCCCGCATCGCCTACATCCTGCCAGCCAACGAGAGCTTCGGGCCGCTGCAGATCTCCCTGGGGAGAACCGTGAAGGATATCTTCAAGTTCATGGTCATTTTCATCATGGTGTTTGTGGCCTTCATGATTGGGATGTTCAACCTGTACTCCTACTACCGAGGTGCAAAGTACAACCCAGCGTTCACAACGTGAGTAACCCAGGCCTCCGCCCTGAGGGTCTCTGGGCTTCCTTGGTGGGGCGGGGTGTTGAGGGGTCTCGTGCAGGTGGCCTCTTGCATAAGTTTTGATTTCCTTGGTGCTTCTCAGGGCGGCTCAGAGTCTAGGCTCTCGAATGGAAGGGCGGAAGACCTGAGTTAAATCCTCATGGGGGCACCATAATGGCAGGGGGCCATGGCAACAGGTCATTCCCACGGGAAACTCTGAACACATGCAAGGAATTATTGTGCTAATTACTCTTGCCTTTACCTGTATCACCTGGAAAACAGAACCCCGGGGGAGACTGTCATGCCAGCACCACCGGGGAGCTGCAAGCCCAGAGAAATCAGACTGAATGGAAACAGAAAGCGAAGACTGGGGTGGGGGGTGGGCAGGCACAAGGTGCCGCTGCCCTGGCTGCTGTCTGCCAGAACGCACAGCCCAGGCAGGAAGGAGTCTCCCAGGGGCCAGAGAATGCAGGGTGGGAGTGTGGGAGGGGTCACAGCTCAGAGCCTCCCACAGGGCAAGAGAGAATTTATGTGCCAGATCTTTCCTGGCCACTGTCTCAGGAGCCGGATGCATCCAGGTCGCTGACTCCCCTGCACCTCCAGAGCAGCCCTGGGGAAGCCACAGCCACGCGGCGTGGGGGGAGGGGGTCTGTGCGAGAGCAGATGAGCAGCCTGTGCCCCGGGAGCTTTGCAGCATCACCTGCCTCCAGGGCAGGAGGGAGGCCCAGGCTGAGGCACTGAGCCTGGCCCAGGGGAGCTGCGGCAGGGATTCCAGCCAGTGAAGCAGGCACAGAAACACGGTGAGGCTCACGGAACCTACCTTCACAAGGACTCAGCGCCCCTCCCTGGGGGGCAGCGGGGTGCCAGGCGGTCTCCTGGAGGGCCACCAGTGGCACTGAGAAGGGTCTGGTGCGAGGTCTGGCAGGCCTGAATGTCCACCCGGACACAGGCATTTATGGGCTGATGGCCTCGAGCAGGCTGCCTGACTCATCCGAGCCCCTGGGTCTCTCCTCTAACGTGGAAAGACTTCCCACCTTACCCACACGTACCCCCACGGGCAGAAACATGACGTGCCTGCACACTGAGGTTTCCCCTCTATGTCTCCTGGTCCTCACCACGCTCCTGCCCAGAGTCTTTAGAGTAGGAGAGTTGGGCGTCCAGCCCCAGCATGGAACCCCCTGGGCTGGGCATTTCCTGGCATGTGTGCCGGCATGCCCCAAGAGGCCAGGAAGTCACATCTCCCAGCCAGTGGAAGGAGCTCCAAGCCTCAGCCATGCAGGCCCCCTTGGGAGCACAGCCTCGCCCCGCCCTGTGTCTGCAGAGATCACCTTTGAGGGGAGACATTTGTATCTGAGAACAAACCACCATGAGCTCTGGGCCTCTCTCCTCAGGACCGGGGACTGGGTGGCCTCACCCAGCTGGAGCTACCTAGAAGGTCCCGCCCAGAAGGCTGCGTCTCCTGGCAGAGCTCAGCCACGGAAGCTGCTTCTCTCTGTGGCAAAGATGGTGCCCCCATCCCAAAGGTGCTAGCGCCGCCCCCGGCCCACAGGCTGTGCTGGAGGCTGAGCGCCACATGGATCGCACAGCCTAGGCAGATGGCCTGGAGCAATGGCTTCAAACCTCCCCCCCCACCCCAGCTTCCCTAGGTCTGAGATGAGAACACGGACTGACAAGGCCAGCCTCACAGGAGCCAGTGAGGAGGAGGGTCAGATATGGTGCCTGGCACTGAATAAGCCTTCAGCAGGCGGAAGTGGGGCTCGTGGAGCTGGGGGCTGACTGCAGGCAGACACTGGGGTATTGACTCACCCCTGTGGGTCCCTTCCTGGGAAGAGGCCGGCAGGGCTGACAAACTGCACCAGCTAGCGCCAAGCCCGTTACTACTGAGTCTGCTGGACACTTTATATCACCCCAACTCTCCATGAGTAACTGTTGACAGACTGGAATAAAGAAGCTCCAATCGCCCAAAAGTAAATTTGCTGTCAATAGAGCAGAGGCAGAGCTCGAAGTGCCCACTCAGCATGGGACTGAGCATGGTTACCCAACAAGGGAAGATGCCAGTCCTCCACCTCCAGTGCCAGTGCCCCTGCCTGTGTCTGCTCCAGCACAGGGCCTCGCCCAGTGTTTGCCTGCTACATGCTTCATGAACAAGAACGAGGGAACACACAGGACAAAGGAAGCCAGGTCCAACGCAGAGGGGAAAGCCGTGGACGGCGCGTCTGACAACATGGACTTGGGGTCCTTCTCCACACCCGGACTGTTCTGGGCAGCCCCCACCCCCTGCAGAGTGCCCAGCCCACAGTCCCGCGGGGGGGAACGCAGGCTTAGATTAGCACTTCCTGGCCACACAATTCTCAGTGACCTGCGGCACAGATGGTCTAAACAGGGAGTAAGTGTGTGGCCCAGGCTGGGGTCTTTGGGAACAAGTAAGGTCACAGGGACAGGTGAGATCAGGAGAAAGGCAGAGCAGTCAGCTTGTCCCGTAGGCCAGCGGGCAGATGAAGACTGTGTAGGCAGGAGGGACCCAGGCCGTCCAGGAGGGGGAAGAGGCGGGGAAGCCGGCAGACAGCAGGTGCAATGAATGCCGCACAGGGTCTCCTTCCTCCCCCCCCCCGCCCCGCCCAGTGCCTGACATGGGATGTGTAGGTGTAAATAGGATCTGATTGAACACAGAAAGTCAATAGAGCAGCGAAGCAGAGAGAGGAAAAAACGGCTTTTTGTAAATGCTATCTTTGACCTTTGGACTGCTCTCTGGAGTGCGTCAGCCCCCAGAGCTCCCCAGCCACATAAAAGCCTTAGGAGGCATGCTGAGTGCAGCCACGCCGTAACGAAGTCAAAGGCCCCTCAGGTGCGTGTCTGCCACCTAGCAGCACACGCCCAGGCTGCCCTCCCCTCGAGGGTCACATTGGGCTGCTCTCAGGAGCCAGCCCACAACAGCCAGTCCACCTGAGTCTCGCCAAGTTGCAGTTTCTGTCCCAGTAGGGAACTGGGGATGGGGCGGGGTGGGGCAGGGGAGACACTTTAGAACAAAAGTAAAGAGGAAGAACAGAAAGGTTTCTCTATCATCGGCAGCCCCCAACCCTCAACCAAGCCCTCCCTAATGCTGGGTGGGTGCCAGTTCCAGAATCACATTCCTTCCTCCCCATCCCCAGGTAGCCTTTTCCTGCATTCAGCAAACCTCAGAGAAGAGGCTAGAAAGAAATCGATGACGTCAGCTTCATCAGCCCAAGGTGTGGACAAACACACAGAACGAGCAGCCTTAGCGAAAAGCAGCGGTTTCAAACCACATGTGGCGGTAGAGTCACCAGAAGTGTGGCTGCACTGGGGACTCCCCAAGCCCCACCCCTTAGAGTGTCCCGGGGTAGAGCTTAGACAGCTGCTTTAAAAAGCCACTGGGAGATGTTGACACCTGTACTCTCATAGGGTAAGAAACACAGATCTTGTCCAATCTCTCATTCCCCTACTGGGGAGACAGAAGCCACTCTCAGCTCTGTGTATTTCAAAAGCAAGGAGCCTGTTAACCTCAGCAAGTCTCTTAATGGCAGATTGCTGGTCCTGTGCAGGCCGGACTTTTTAAGCACAAGTTATTACAGACAGCCTGATGTAGCAGGAATGAGGCCTGGAGTCAGCCCATGAGCGTCCCTGGTTTTCAGAGTCCTTCCACTTCGGAAGCAAGGATGCTCATGGTTGCACAGCCACTCCTGTGTCGGGTTTGGTCTAAAGGGGAGGAGCAGGTTGCATGCGTGAGTGCCTGGCTGGTGAGCCGGGGCTGTCCGGGTGTGACAGACAGCACACTTGCTGGCAGCTCATCAACTCCAAGCCACTTCCGTTAGAAACTGCAGATGAGCTAGGGGGATGAAGAGAAAGTGTCAGGATCAGCTTTATGGCCCCAGAGTAGGAAATCAGAGTATCCCAAACATGAATGAGGAAGCAGGAGGAGGACGCCCTCCTCCAAGGACACACTTGCTGTGAGGAATTCTCTCACTGGGAGCACCTCTTTGATTACATCATGGAAGTTGCTAGACAACTAGGCGTTGCATTTGGATACTTGTTTTATAGCTAACTTTGCTGAAATACCCATAGTCCAAAGAGCAAGGGGTCTCTGACTGGGGATTGCATAAAAGTCCTGGGGTCCCAGCACTGTGGTTACAGTGTTAGAAACACCGGGTCCCTAGCCCACAGGTGAAGTACAGTGTCATAGGACTTGGGAGTGAAAAGCTCCCTGCCTTACACTCTGGTAGGTGACCACGGCTGGATGGGTATCCAGAGACGAAGGGGGCGGGGGCAGGGGTCAACAACTTGACCCAGGGCAGAGGAAAGTGGAGGGCCCTGTACCATGGCACACCAAAGGCCCTTGGTTTCCCGTGTGCGTGAGCACAGCCTCCCGCATTTAATTCTGATGGGAGATGAAGTGTGGGCTGTGTCCGCCAAAAGTGGAGCCCCGCTGATCTTTCCTGCAGGCCACTGTGGTATGAGCATCATCAGGCAGCTGGGTTGAGACCTCTCCAAGCAAAAGTAATACCTCTCTTAAGGTTGTACTGTCTCCCCAGGAATGCTTTCACTGGAAGGAGCTTCCGCAGTGCTGGGCAAAATTAGAAGCTTCTATTCTCTGTGATACTTACGGAAAATTCCCACACTCTATAAGGCAGGCAGGGATTCCTGTGCCTACCAGGAGCAAGAGGCACTGGGTGGGCCCCCACCCTGCTTGTCTGGGTCATGGGAAAGCCAGCTTCTCTCTCCTGCAATCCTGGAGAGGCACTGGGGCTGGGAGAGAACCCTTAGGATGAGCCCACCTACCCACAGAGCACAGCCCCGTCCTCCCTGCCAGGACCACCCAAGCCTAGAGCCTGGGCTCCACATACTCTTGGCTTTAGCTCTGAAACCGAGACTTGAAACACTCCTTTTGGAGTCAGTAAGGGACAGGGATAATAATAAGTGTCATTGATTAAACAACTCGTGACGACAGACACATGGCAGCTGCTCTCCCG